TGCTGATCAACATTTAAATGTGAATAAAGCCTAAATGAAATGTTCTTCATAAAAAAGCAATCATGTCTCTTCAGAAGACTTGGGTTAAACCTTTTAATTAATATTGATTATTTTCCACGATCTCTTTATGAACTTTTTGAAGCTTCAAAGTTTTGGTGTAATGGGCTTTCCTTAGAGGGGGGGGGGGAATTACTTCATTTGTTTTTTGGAAGAAAAACTAAAGTCTTATGGGTTTGGATCGACATGAGGGTGAGTAAATGAAAACAGACTGTTGGGTGAACTAACCCTTAAAATATTTACACGCTTTTTAGACAAAATATTTCATATAAATTTGATTGTAAATGATAAAACACTAGATATCTCATTCAATATATAGATATTTAGACACTTTTTGGTTGTCAAACATTCACCAGTCGTGTTTACAGTAAATGTGAGCTACACCTGTGCTTCTCTGATAGGACCTGGGTGAAATTAAGGAAAACTTGCTTCATCCAGTAAAAATCACACTGAAACTACCTGGTTAAATTAACTTCTAAATTGAAGTTACTTGTGAGAAAAGCTACTTAGTTGATTGTTTGTTATCTATGTAATTAAATTCATACATTTGTATAAGTATGAATTGCAAAGTGTAGCTTAAGTATCCAAATACTATTTAGGGTCAGTGTATGTGCACCCAGATGAATTGTTTCTATATCCCAGATTACCTCTCTGTTGGTTGTGGAGCTATTGTCAGGATAGGGCAGTTTGGGAAAGTTTTATGCTTCCCTTGGTCCAAGTTGTTTCTCTTGCAAATGAGCAGCTCGTTGGTGATGGTGCAGATGTTCTGTAATGAGGGTCATTAGGAGTGAGAATAAGAATGGCCTGGACTGGCAGGGCTCTGGGCGCCTCATTATGCAGACACATTTAAAAGGTCGATGGGGGTGCGAATGGCTGCTTAAGGGTCCCAGACAAAACCAGGGGGGAGGAGAGTCCAAAAGAAGCCAGAATTCAAATTCCACAGAAGAAACTGCGCTTGTTGTCAGAGCAGGATTTACCCTCTCATTCGTCTAGTGGAGATCTCCGGAGCGCAATATATGTGGATATTTGAAATGGCCACGATTACGCGCGCACGAGTTTCACTGCTGGTCCTCGCTTTCATGACTATTGCTATAGGAGTACAGTGCCGATCGCTTCGTACACAGCTTCGCAAGGTGACATCGTTTCAAGGAGAGCGTAAAATCCGTATCGGACACGTCCAGAGACGGAGCCGTCGCGAACCTGTATCCGAGCACGACCACTGCGCCCTCCTGAGCGCACCGTGGACGGAGAGCACCCCTCCGCTTGGTGACTGGGGCCAGATGTACCGTCTGAAGATACAATCGACGATGAGTGATGGTCCACGTCGTGCTGTTTTCCCAGAACAACCCCTCTTCAGATTCGTCAGACGGGTTTATCGCTGTTGTCAAGTGGGCTACCACTGTGGAAGTGTCAAGGGAATACAAGGCGGAAAAGTTGGGGGTAAGTAGCTCTCTGCTCCGACACCTTGTTGAAAAAGTGATGCTGGTCCTCAACATGGGATGCTGGTGATCCCATCCGGTTTAGCTTGCAAGACTGTCGGTCAACCAGCTTTACCAGCCTTTTTGCTAATAAACCGTACATTTAATTAGGTTAACTTTAGTGGTTTGTTGGACTTAGCTGGTTTAAGCTGGCCAAGATGGTCTCCCAGCCTGGTCGAGCTAGTGTTCAGCTGGTTTTAGCTGGTTGGTCAGCTGGTCTCCCACTCTGACCAGCTAAATAAGTGCCTTCAAACCAGCTACGACCAGGTTGGAAGACCAGTTAAAACCAGCCAACCAGCTTTTTTTCTTTTTCTTTTCTTCAGCATGGAAAGAGTTTTCGACAAAGAGTACTGTAATTAAAATGTAGCACACAACATCACAAATATACCTAAAATGATGTGTGGTGTTTTGTTCAAAATATATTTATTGGCAGGGACATTAAAAGACAATTTTGCTTTGCTAAGAGGAACCTCAACAGGCTGCAACTTGAAATTTTCTGTCAAAAATTCACTTGCAAAGCTAGACCAGCACCAAACCAGCATAAACCTAAATCACGAATCTGGTAATTCACGATTTTACAGCAGGTATATTTATGTGACAGCAGTATCCCTAATCATGTGTCCTTTTCTTACTTGTCAAGACTACAACATTGAGTTTCTGCTCGGAGAGGATGTGCTGTCAGCACCGTTGGAGAAAGCGGAAGTTCATTTTCACTTTTCAAACCCCCAACACCTCAACATCCAACCCGTGCTGCCCTCGCTGGAGAAACGAGGGTTCCCTACTAGGTGAGACAGAGGAACTTGATAGATGAAGTGAGAATGTTGTTAGCGCACACCAAGAAATTACTGAGCTTCTGACAAAAAAAGTCCTCAATATTTTCTCTTTCTCTCTGCAGGTACAGAGTCTGGCTGAGAGATGGTGTCGTAGAGCTGAGAGTGGATCTGCTCGCCCTCATCCAGGCCCTGCAGCTGGTAATTGGAGGAGCCAGCAGAGGTCCAAGCGTGATGGAAATGCATTGGGTGAGGGGCTTGACCAGACCAGGGGTCATTGCTCAAAAGCAAAGACCCCCATCCCTTCAAGACACAGTGCCTGTAGTGTGGGGGGAGGTGAATGAGAGCAGGGAGGGTGCGGCCCCCCTGCAGCCCACTTTAGAGCTGGGACTGGCATTACACTGCAGCTTACTGGATAATATCGCACAGCCCTGTCAAGATTATGGTGTACATCTAGAACATGCACCCTTTATCGCTCTGACGTATAGATAGCAAGACATATTCAGCCGTACTAAACAGTGTTTTAGCAAATACATTTGGAAACTGCTTCTGTGTCCAGCCAAACACTGTCAATCCCTAGCGCTCCCCCTTCACAAGTTCTTTGTGGCCATAAAATCTCTGTCCATTCAGTCCACTAACACCTGGTGTGAATGTTCCCTGGATGGTTCGCTGTTTTTTAAGAATTGCTAATGATTCCCATTGTTCTGTGACAATGGTGCTTCAGCAGAAGCTTACTGTAATTCAGAGTGGCTGATGTTATATGGAACACTATGCACTTCAGCATGTAAATTGAATTTATTAACTTATGGGTGCTATTTGTGAGAAAAAGGTATGACTGTAAAAATGTAAATAGTGTATAATTACAGTTCTATATATTAAATTGTTTTTGCATTGTATATACATGTCCAATGGTTTGTTTCTCTCTGTCCCTGTTGCCAGTGTATTGTTTCTTCTCAATTATTTGAGACATGTTGTCCCAATAAGGTGTTTTAAATCAAATCAATTGAAATATGGAAGGGCTCACATACTGAACATGAAGCATTTTCAGTGTTGATTGATAAAAGACAAAAAAAAGTTTCAGATTGTATGCTGAGCATCCAACACTGCTCAAGTCAAGTACTCAAATATTAACATTAGGTCATGCGATGCAGTTCTATATATTAAATTGTTTTTGCATTGTATATACATGTCCAATAGTTTGTTTCTCTCTGTCCCTGTTGCCAGTGTATTGTTTCTTCTCAATTATTTGAGACATGTTGTCACAATAAGGTGTTTTAAATCAAATCAATTGAAATATGGAAGGGCTCACATACTGAACATGAAGCATTTTCAGTGTTGATTGATAATTCAAGACAAAAAAAAGTTTCAGATTGTATGCTGAGCATCCAACACTGCTCAAGTCAAGTACTCAAATATTAACATTAGGTCATGCGATGAACATCATTTACCAAATCCTGGTTGGACATGTAAGGAACTTGACTACCATTCAAAATGTTGTAGTCAGTACGATTTTGCTAGTTTTATTCAGAAACATGCACTAGATTGATCAAATTAACAGTAAAGACATTTATAATGTTACTAAAGATTTCTATATCAAATAAATGCTGTTCTTTTGAACTTTCTATTCATCAAATAAAAAATGATCAGGGTTTCCAAAAAATATGTTTAAAAACTGTTTTCAACATTAATAATAAGAAATGTTTCTTGAGCACTAAATCAGCATATTAGAATGCTTTCTGAAGGATCGTGTGGCACTGAAGACGGGAGTAATGATGCTGAAAATTCAGTACCTGGAAATATTTTCTCTTGTTAGATATATTTTTCCAGTTGTACAGTGCAGGTGTACTGCATTTTTACAGACAATGCTAAAGGACCTTTATTATGGAGTCTGTCATAGTCATATTTTCACTAGCATAGTCTCAGAAACCGTGACAATAACTGCAGTTGTAAAGTGATCGTATGGTAATATTTTATGGAGCACTCAAGTTTAAAAAACTACACAATACAGAGTTTAATGAATAGCCTTGTCTCATTTCTGATATGTCCCACTTTGTGATTGCTTGTGCGTTTTAAACTTTAATTTTGAGATATGCATGATGATAGCAGTTTCATATGAATACAATGATTTGCAAATGGAGTGAAAAACAGGGACACTGTCCATTACATGTGAATACAGGTGTGGGTTAGGTTGAGATATTCAGAGAGGCAGGAAGTGGGAGGTCTTTATCAACACCTCAGCATCTGATGTCACATGAACAGACACAGATGTAAAATCTCATTGAATAGATAATGAGAGAAAACAACTCCAACATTTAAAAAATGCCTTGGTCTGGGATATCTAATACACAATAATACACAATTACATGTGGTGTGCTCCACAGGATCAGCTACACACTGCATTTTGTTTATTTTATTAATTTACATGACATTTTCAGGTCTAGCAATCTTTAAAATCACTTTACAAAATGTGATTTTCACAAATTAATAAAAATTAAATTTCATTTGAATTGAAGAAGTTTTAAGTCAATTTTAGGCCCCCGGCCTAGAGAGCCCTAGCCCCCTGGTTGATATCCACTGGCATATATTTAATTTATAATAAATACTGAAATTGTTTATTTCACAAAGATTGTCACAGTTTTACGAATACAGCAATATTTTTATGACAGATTTTCGTAGTTCAAAATTAAATGTCTGAGTCTGGAACGTGGATAAAACAAATGTTCCATAAAAAAAGACAAACAAGATGACAGTGTGAGTGGTGAATGTGTTTGCAGTGTCCACTGAATAGTTAGACTCTACACTTTGCCCTCAACACAGGCCGAGGCTAAAGTTCACCAAGAGAGGGAGAGAAAGAGAGAAAGAGCAACAGAGTAAGGGAGGAGGGGATGAAGGGAAAAGCAAGTAGCAAAAAAATCCCCTTTCAAAGCAAAAGGACAACAGGTGTCTAGATTTAATACAGGAGCAGAAACAGAAGAACGCTGGAAAACGACAAAGAAAATGAAAACAAGCTGTTCATGTGAAAGACAGACTACTGAACTGAAAGACAGAGGTGAATATTGAACGTGTGCGATATTGTTTTGCCATCTGTTTGCACACAAAAGAGTGTGTTGGTAATTGCTTCAGTGGCACAGACATAGCTTATATGAGCAAATTATAGACAAAACACGGCTGCTTAAACACCTCCGAATGCAAGAGATGGAGGGAGGAGAGGGGAGAAGAGCAGGAGGAGAACGAAGCGGCCGGCTGTCGGCCTTACAGGAGCAGCTGGTGTGGTCTCTGCTGGGATCAGGGCTGTCAAAAGAGCTGCTGATCCAGGCCATGGGAGATCTGGAGCGAGAACGGGCCTCGGCCGGTGCAGAGAAGATGGATCGGGCTGATGGCGAGAGCTCGGAGGAAGGAGACATGGACAATCCACCTCCTATCTTCCATGAGCTGGAGAGGCTACCGCCAGAGGAGGCCGCGAGGCAGAGAGCTGAAGTGGACCAGCTGTTGCAGTAAGTATGGTGTTTTCTGATCATTCAATCCGAGCTTCATCCAAAACACACAATCAGAAATGTCTAATATGACTTTAGTGCCTCCAATGTTGTTCTTCTAAAGAAACATCATCTAAAATCCACCATTGGCATCTTCTCAACTTCCAATTTTACTCCACATATTCTTGATTAAACCTTCTTTTCTCTAGCTCGTGTAAGGTCTTCTTTCTTCTATTCCTTTTCTTTGGCTTCCTCTCTCCTCTAGTGCTCTGCTTCCCAACTGATGGGGTGAATATAAAGGAGGTTCCACCTTTTTTAGTTACTAATTACCCACCCTATTCATTATTCTCTGGCCATTTCAAACTTTTTAATAAATGAGCTACATCGACTGGTTAGAAAATTAACAGAGTGACACAGTGTCCATCGCTCTGTGTGTGTGTGTTTGTGTACACATGACTGTGGTGATATTGTAAAGATAGTACTGTTGTGAGGGGAGTTTTGTTTTCTAAATGTGTGGCTCTTTGAATAGAGATAAAAATGGAATTGTAATGCACTTTATTTAAACCTCAAAGGGAATTTGTGAGTGATTTGTATAGGTGAAATGCATTACTGTTGGATATGTTTGTGTGTTAGTAAGGCTTTGTGTGCTTGTGTTGAATTCAAGAGGGTTATTTGCAATCTCTTTTACTGGACTTTGGCCCCTTGTCTCTTGCCTTATCTTACAGTGTAAACATTGCACCCTCTCTACCTCTGTATTATCTATCCTTTCTCTTCCCCCTCACCCTTCTTCCAAAACATTTTTTTAAATAGCCTTAATAAAAAGTTTTAAAAAAAATGTAATTAGGAAAAATTTGGTATTTTCAGGAAACAATGCCATTAGTGTACTATGTGTTTGTCTACTGATATAATTAACAGAATAGTGTACTTTCACATGACACTTTTATTTATAACATAAAATATGTTTTATCTCTTACTTAGACTATATATATTTTTAACAAGCTATAGTAATGTATTAATATATTGTTTTAAAATTCCAATATCAGCCACTTTGCAGCCTAACCATCACAACTACATTTTAAAGGACTCATTTCTTAAAAGCTAAATTCTAACCGAAATTAAAATATTATGCTTATATTAAAGGCATTTTTATGTTTCTGACATCATACTTAATGGAATGAAATCATCCATTTTATTTGACAAGGTCTCAAAATGAAATACATTTCTTCATTTGTCTTATTTTTTTATTGAGCATTTATTTATTACTATTTAAAATAACTGTTTTCTATCTCAATGTATGTTAAAATGTAAATTACTTCTGTATTGCAAAGATGAATTTTCACCACCATTACTCTGGTCTTTCGTGTCACATGATTCTTCAGAAATCATTCTAATATGTTGATTTGCTGCTCAAGAAACATTTCTTATTATTACCAATGTTTAAGACAGTTAATATTTTTGTTGAACCTTGTTTTTCAAGATTTTTTGATTACTAGAAAGTTTAAAACACAGCATTTATTTAAAGTAGTAATTTTTGTAACATTATAAATATCTGTACTATCATGTTTGATCAATTTATTGCATGTGATTCCTTTCTGAATGAAACTGATCATTTCTTTTTTTTAAATCATACCCCAAACGTTTGAATACTGTAATAATATGAACTTACTTACTGCGGCTTAGTTGAAATAAATATAGCCTATTTTGCAAGGCCATAACCACATATTTGGGGCTCAAAATCACCTGGAAAATCAAGGGAAAGTATGACTCTTGAAATGTAATTAATTAAAAGAAATTCTCAAACACATGTTCTTCATGTGATTTCATAAGAACTTGTTTGGAAATATTCAGAATGCCTATTATATGTATTCATGTATTGGTGTGTGTTAGAGAGGATCCTTGGCACATGGCTAAAATGATAAAAAGCTATATGCAGCAGCACAACCTACCACAGAGAGAGGTGGTGGAGTCCACTGGCCTCAACCAGTCCCATCTCTCCCAGCACCTCAACAAGGGCACACCCATGAAGAATCAAAAGCGAGCTGCTCTGTACAGCTGGTACGTCAAGAAAAAGGCAGAGATCAACCAGCGTGAGTATGGCCATTTCTTATTTCTCTATTTGAATTCATCTTTAAGAATTACACTAATGATTCTCTCACCGGATCAATGCAGAATTCACCAATGCCAGTCGAGGTGTTGTGTCAGGAGAGGAATCCGGGGATGATGTAAGAAAGGGACGGAGGAATCGATTCAAATGGGGCCCAGCATCCCAACAAATCCTGTTTCAGGCCTATGAACGACAGAAAAACCCCAGTAAGGAGGAGAGGGAGGGACTGGTGGAGGAGTGCAACAGGTAAGAAGTGAACTGGGTACCAACTCAAACTGTTTTTAAAGGTATGACATAATACCTGTTGAATGTATATGTGTTTTAGAGCGGAGTGTCTTCAGAGGGGAGTTTCTCCATCTCAGCTGGCCGGCCTAGGCTCTAATTTGGTTACAGAGGTTCGTGTATACAATTGGTTTGCAAATCGGCGTAAAGAGGAGGCATTTCGCCACAAACTGGCACTGGACGTGCCCTACAGCAGCCAATCAGCTCCCTCCACAGGCCAGACACTACCATCCAGTCCTTCACCAGGTACAATGTCAATCAGGCTCATACCTATCCCATTTGTTGACTGATTTTGTCAGTTTTTAATGACAATAGGTTGGTTTTAATTCTTCTTCCTAGATTTTGCTCTCAATCTGACCTGTTTTACCCACCTTTCTCTTTTGTTGATATCCTGAAGTTCTGAAGTACAGCCAGCCAGTTCTTAAGTACAACCAGTCAGTGGTTTGTGAGAGTCTGGGCACAGTGAGAAGCTCCAGTGGTGAGGACCAAGGTGGCGGCGGTCGTCTAGCCAGTCCTGTCCAACTAGAACCCAGTCATACACTGCTGGATACACACCATCACAAACCAGTGAGATTACACTACTTTACACATATCACCATAAAACAGTGAGATTTTAAGTGATCACTGACTGATTGCTTTTATCTCATAATAACGGTAAAGAAGGTCGGAAATTAAGTTATTAATTTAAACTGCGGCTAATTGCACTAAGTGTATAGCGATAGATTCTATTTACACTATGTAAAAATTGCAGTATTTTCTGCTATTTATACTACTTATTGCAAACAATGGCAAATATCTGCACCTCAGTATTGTAGTAAATTATAAAACAGCATGCAATAATAACGTATTATGTGTAAATGATCATTTTTATTAGAATTATTAAATGGATTTAGCCTCATTGGGAAAATAAAGCCCTCCCTACACCTATCTTAGCCCTACCCGACAATTTATTTTCAACTTTTCGATTTTTTCCTTGATTTTTATTGAAAATAAATGCCTTTCCGATGTGATAAGAACTGTGAAAAGGGAGAAGAATGAGTTTGGCAAAAGGCGGATTCGAACTCAGGTTGCTCGCGTCATAAATAATCATCACCTTGTTAGCGCAAATAGCCTCTTCCAACAAGATGGGTTATTTGCACTCAGTGTAAATAGACACTTCGTTTTACTAATTATGAAAGTTACCATTAAATGACTTACAATTAAAATACAGTATTGTCTGTTTTTGCTGTATTTTACCAAAGAAAAAAAACCAAATGGATAACAGAATCATCGCGCGACACATAGCGTTGTTTAGTTTCTGAATGAATCTGTGTTTGAACGAATGGCTTGAGTGAATGATTCAATAACCCATTCATAAAGTCTATTTTATTCGTTTTTAGAATTAATTAGTTTCTTTTGAAAAAATCGAATGGTTCAATGACTAACTCGATAAGACACTGACTTGCCGCCACCTAGTGGCAGTTTTTCACATTTAAAAGCACCATTTCATTTTTTTTTCATTGTTTCTTATTTTCTAAACCTGTATGACTCTCTCAAAAGAAGATATTTCACAGACCTGTTTTTGTCCACACAGTGAAAGTAAGTGGGGTCCAAAACAACACTGGACTCCACCGAATTTTATTTTAATGGACAAAAACACTGAGACTTTTAAATCTTCCTTAATTGATGACAGAATTTTTCCATTTACTACACATTTAAGGCAAATGTAACTCAGGATTCAGAACCTGACAGGCAAAGTTTCCATTTTCTCTCTTAGGCATCTGGTGGTGGCTCCTTACCTCCCGTCAGTACTCTCACTTCCCTGCATGGAGTTTCAGGATCCTCTGCTGCCCCTCCAGGACTGATCATGGCATCCCTACCAAGTGTAATGAGTCTGGGGGACTCCTCACTTTTCATAGGTACAATTCATATAGTGATCTGCATTAAGAGTTAACACCAACACACTGCTAATTAATACTAACACATGTCTTTTACTGTAGGCTTGACCTCCTCTCAACCACAGACGGTCCCTGTCATCAATAACATAGGGGGAGGCTTTACTACCCTTCAGCCAATCTCGTTTCAGCAGCAGCTTCACACCTCTCCTCAGCAGCCAATAACACAGCAGTTTCAGAGCCACATTTGCCCAAGCTCCTTCATGGCAACAATGGCACAGTTACCATGCCACAGTATGTACTTAATTAGAGGTCTGAGTAATGAATTAGTGGTGCATCAAGACAAGAGTCACTATATAGTAACTAAAGTAGCCTTAAAAAGTTAGACAAACGTCTAACTAAATTGTTTAGAAAAAAAAAACATTCCATGAAACAATGTATAAATAGTGTTTTTGTCCTAACGATTTGAGAACATTTTAAAAGACCAGATAACTTTGAACACACATTCTACTAACATTACTGGAAGACTGTCTTTATAACTTTGATAGAACATTAGCCAAAGTTCTGAAAACGCTACCAGTTAGCTAGCTAGACAGAACACTGTATACTAGCATGGCGGTGGTGAGTTTTAATGGACAAGCACCATACAAAGACCTAGTTTGTCTCATTTCAGAGATGTAGTGTGGACTTAACCAAAAATTCTACTTTAATACTGCATGTGTTTCAGTGTACAGCAAGGCAGACCTGAGCGCTTACACCTCCAGTCTCCTGTCCCAGGCCATGGTCATCGCAGACAGCAACAGCATCGGGACGCTGACTAACCTCACATCTGTTCGACAGGCATGAACCAGACACAAACTCATCACACTGACATGATTACATGCACATCATTTTCAGATTAAGGGCTATATAATAATCGGCTTGTGAATCTACAGCAATTCTTTTAAATAATCTATCATTTTCCTCTCCATCAGATTCTCACCTCAGATCCTGAGGGTCACTCAGACACTCCCATTGAAGAGGTGTCTTTACATCTGCAGTCCACTTCACCTGAGCCAGGTACAGACCCTTGCAGACCTTGTGCTTAATCTAGCCATATTCAGATGTTTCTGTCATAAAACATCTGTTTAATTACATTTCCAGTGTCTTCTGGCAGTTTGGAGCTCTACCCTCAGACACACATGAGTGAAACCCATTCTTCTCACCTGCTCTCCTCTCCACCCGGAGATATAGACCCTTACATGCCTACACAGATGGTCTCTACTGCACAGTAGCTGCAGCTACTGATGGAAATACCACTGAGAGCTGGTGTAACTCATTCAAATACATTAGAGAGCAAAATTAAGTTAAATAAATATTAGCAGTCCTTCTAAAAAACAAACTGCCTCATTGCTACCTGCTGCCTACCCACACAGAGGAGGAAGAAAAACTTTAAACTCTATAAAATCATTAAAACCTTTAAATTATGCTCCATAAACGGACTGAGTTCAATTCAATATGGAATCTTTTGTGAACACTGTACATAAATTACTGTAAAAATATGTCATCGTTCTAGATTTCTGTGTCTAGTCAGGCTGTAAGACTGATTAAAATGAATAAAAAGTTTCGAAAAATACTTTCTAGTAAAATGGCAAAATAAACATACTTTATTGATGTTTTAGAGGGGATTTATAGCATGAAAACCTGTTTCTTGCTAATTTAGAGTCTTCTCTAAGTTTTGCAGTCAACTGTTACTATACAATGAATGTCATAAAAATATACAACCACCAAGAACAGCATTTACAGGATAATAGACCTTAGGTTAGTCACCATATTGAATTTTACGCAGATGAAAACAAGGCTTTATTCCACTTTGACCTCTCTTTCGTTGTTATTCTGTCTATTTCTGTATGTCTGTGCTGTTGTCCAGTTGGAATTTTCACCCTAAAATTTTTTTATTATTGCAATTTTTAGAACAAAGAACATATAAGGGCAATAACATTTAAACTGAATGAAAACAAATACTTAAAATAAATAAATAAATAAAAATTAAATAAGAAGAGCAATAAAAAAAAAATCAAATAATTAATTACAAATTATTTAAAGAATAGATCAATTGATTTACCGTGTACTGAGAAATTGTACCTAAATTACAGATACAATGTAAAAAAAATTGTATTTCATTAAAAGTACCTATTCCCAAAAACATTTGAGTGAAAGTAAATTGTATTTAAATAAGATTCTAATGTAAATAAAATGAAAGCTAAACTCATGTATTACTGATTGGTTTGTTAGTCACATTAGAGTAAAAAAGATAGTATTTGTATTTTTAAACCAATGTCATCAAAATATGACATATACGTGTTTGCACCTTTAACTTGAGTATATAGTATTATTGGTTTCTTGTAAACGCAATTAAGTAAAAGTAGGCTACAAGTATTTGATTTTAACACAACTCAAGTGAAGAACAGATTCTCCAAAATAATACTTCTGTATAGTAGTAGAATTACTCAAATACTTTACACGACCTCTCTGACCTTAATATTTTTTTTCTGATTTCCACCATAATAGAAACTGTTTATTACTAACAGATTAATTTGAGATTTTTTCCCAACGTGCAGATCTTAAAACTTTGTCTGAAATACGTTAATACCGCACTTTCTTAAATCTGTTCAATTTTAAATCACTCCATTTTGAAATTAGTTGAAAGATTTTATTGCAGATTATACCGTGTTAGTACAAAAATAGGACATATTAAACTATCCAGCAATACATCATTAATTTGAGAATAAAATGTGTCTTAGCAGCTATGAAAATGCACAGAGAGTGTATAACAATCGTAATAGTTTATTGACACTTAATAATCCTCATCCTCAGAACTATCTTCCTCATCATCACACTCTTCAGAGTAATTGTAGTCCACATCATCATAGTCTTCATTATAATCATCTATGTTGTCTTCCTCGTCGTCGTAATTATCTTCCTTCTCCTCCTCCTCATCTGTGTACCCTTCTGCATCATTAAAATAATCTTCATCCCCCTCCTCTTCCTCATCGTTTTCTGCATCAGAATCTTCATCATCATAATCATGATGATCATCATCATCATCTTCTTCTTCATTTTCCTCTCCATAATACTCTTCATCCTCATCAAAATATCTTTCTTTCTTTGTATTTATCTCCTTTAAATTGCAGAGGCTTTGTTTAAGCCCTGCATTATCTTGCTGTAGTTTAGAGCACAAGAGGGCAAGACTTCTAACATCAGTGTCTTTATTAACTTCCATCTCTGATGTGCAATGACTGATGTGCATCATACTTTTACACGTTTTTTTACACAAATTAGTTTATATTAGGTAAAATATAATTGGCAGAGCCTGATGATGCCTGCTTTAGTATACCACATAATTGTAATGTAACATCAAACCTCTATAACGTCTTGAGTTTTAGCTGTCTGATCCTGTTGTCCACTGACAGTGCTGCTGAAGCTGTTATCTGTGTTCTGGTGCTGCTCTGAGGGTCTCGTCTTCATGTCTCCAGTCACGTCTGACAGTGTGTGTTTCTGTAGTGCTGCTATTGTGTAATGTGGCTTGACGTGAGTCTCACAGAGGGACACGACACAGGTTGAACAACACTTCACAGCTTTCAATCTCTCCTCAGTGCAGAAATCACAGGCCACATCTTCCGGTCCAGCATAGGATTGTGGTGGAAGTGCTGGACTGAAGCTTGCTTGCAGCAGGCTTTTAACCACCTCATCTAGAGCTGCGTTTGTGTTCAGCACCGGACGGGTTTCTGATGGATTACCACACTGTGGACAGACATAATCTCCAGCACAATTGTCCCAGAATTCATTAATGCATCCTCTGCAGTAATTGTGTCCACACGAGATGGACACTGGATCCTTTAACATTGATTTGCATAGTGGACATCTAAAGTGATGAAGTCTAGAAGTCACAAAATCAAAGTTATAACCTGAAAACCAACATCTTTATGGTTTTGGCACTTTTTTTATTTTTTTGGTTTTGGCACTTTTACAATAACAAACTGTCAAAATAGTCATAATACATGTACATATACATAATGTGATATTATGGCCTTTGATTTTTTTTTATTTATTTTTTTTACTTGATCTATTTTTGCATGTGATTTTCCATAAAACAAACCTTAACTTAATAAGATTAGTATTTTTTTAACTACCCATTTACACTTACTTTATCTAAATTAAACATTTTTTGTTGTGTATTTTTTGTTGAGCATTCCAAGCATGACATTTCTTATTAGGGTCTAATTAGGTTGTGCCGTTACATTTGAAATACTATCATATATGTGTGATATATTCAGACGTCAAAAAAGTCTCTTCAAGCTCATTTTATTACATATTCCACACAAAGATTTTTCTTGCAGCCTATTGTATTTATCATGCTGATAGTTTTATTTAGTTATTTTATTTAGTTAACAGTATCTAACGTTTAAAGTTGGAAATACATTTTAACAATCATCAACTCTTTCAAGTGTGACTTTTATAAACCAGTTTTAATGAATGTAACTGAAAATATGAATTAGTTCAAATAAATGTACATTCTTTATTGTCTCTATAGCATATACACAAGTATCAAAGTGAAAGTCTTGAATGCAATTATGTTGTGACAGGAAAGACCAGAATCCACGAAACACTAACTGCATAGTATACATGTAATGGAGTGCAATATCAGTCTTTACAGGAATATTCCACCCCAAAAAATGTTAATTCTCTAATTTACTCACCTTTATGCCATTCCAGATGTGTATGACTTTTCTTTCTTGACATAAACACAAAGATTTTTAAGAAAATAATCCATCTCTGAGAGTCCACATAACACAAGTTAATTGTAACCCATGCACGTATGACAGTTGATCTGAAGTGATTGTTAACAGTGTTTAGTGTTGTTCTTATCCAAAAAATGAAAATTATCTCATTTACTCACCTTCATGCCATTCCAGTTGTATGACTTTCTTTCTTGATATAAACACAAAGATTTTTAAGAAAATAATCCATCTCTGAGAGTCCACATAACACAAGTTAATTGTAACCCATGCACGTATGACAGTTGATCTGAAGTGATTGTTAATAGTGTTTAGTGTTGTTCTTATCTGTTGTTTCACTTCAAAATATACTGATTCAACCATTAAGGTCAGATGGATTACTGTCACGGTAGCTGTGTGGTTTTTAAAGCATCTTTAGGACTCACAGAGATGGATTATTTGCCTAAAAATCTTAATTTGTGTTTACCTGTCCAGTAGAAATAATGTAATATGCATTTGGGACAGCATGAGGGTGAGTAAAAGATGAGAGAATTTTTATTTTTGAGTGAACTATCCCCTTAACAATCATATGCTGTTGGTATGCTAATCCAAGGTCAGCATAGACTAATACGAATCAAATGCAACCTCTTGTGTACTTGTGAACTGTGTTTGTTTTAATCTAGAGCTCCAAAGAAATTAAAATAGTTGCATAATATCAGGTGTCTGAAGATCAAGATCCTAGTCATTCAAAAGTGAGGTGTCTGAACAAAGTAAGAATCTTGTCTGATGGGGGCAATGGATCTCTGGTGCTACCACCACATCCTCTGGGTCAGCATCAGAAGTTTGTTTATGGAAAAGTTGCTCCGCTCCCTGGAAATTAAGAAAGGACATGTATTATAGTCTAACAATACAAACGGCTTTGAACTCCCATTAAACATTTCAAACTTAAAATATTTCATATATAAGTATTAACTTGGTACTAAATACCTCAAAATTATGCACCATTTATCATCTGTATTACCCTTGTGTAACCATTAGATGGCTGTACAGCCCTATATATCCATGACTGTGTATACCCTAGTTACTGGAAACTATTTTCAGTCCTAATTATTTGCATGTATTAGGATTTGCCCGAAATATTCATCTGAAGTGACCATTTTTGCATTATTATTACAGTCAAATCTGGACACAGAAAAAGCATGGTAAAAAGGCTTAACATTGCTAAAGTTGACAGTGCAGTGATTGACAGTGCGCTTGTAAAATGTCATCGGTCATTGTCAGATACAGTACATTTAGTACTGTACATTATGTGCTGGGGGAAAATATGAACTAATCGAAGCTAATATGATCCAATTGAAGACTGTAACTGTATGTAGATAACCAGGTCCTGTAATGATTAGGCTAAATCAAGAAAACTTACCGCAAGTATCCTGATAACAAGGATGATTGATGATAATGATGATGAAATCATTTGTCTGTGCTATTCCTAAGAAATCATCTCAACAATGTAGTGTAGCAGCAGATAAATACTGATAAAATAATAATAATAAAATTTGGCTGCCACCTTGTGGTACAATAATGGATTTTACTCTAAATTTAAAAGCAAAGAATTAAACAGTTTTCCTTTATAAAATGTATTTTATTTCTCTGATCAAATCCATCTGCCACATATAAACAGAATTCCTATTTTATACAGTATAATACAATGTTTCTACAATTCTGGTGAGGGTGGGCCTTTGAGCATGATGTTATGTAATTTAACAGACATTTTCACCCAAATTACTGAAAACATAAATTACAGACTAAAGACTAGACTACTCACATGGATTAAATCAATATGACATGTGGCTAGTCTAGCTGGATAAGATTATTTTTCTTCAATTGCAACTGATCTTGGCGACATCACAGAGATCTCAGATCACCAGGATAACATCATTCAGTAACAGCATTAATTGTACATGTAGAATATACATGTTACTGAGCTTCAAGGGCTAAAAAAGTCACAAAAATGTACTTTAGATGAATATTTAATGTAAACAATCTAAAAGCCATCAGTATCACTCACGCTTGCCATTAATGAAAATGTTTCCTTGAGGTTAAATGTACCCACTATTCACCTATTGTACAAACAAATTAATTTTTCCAGAATGCGGTGTTAAAGAATGTCATGTTATGAAATCTTTCATTGTAAGAGTCCTGATACAGGCTTCATTACATGGAAAAACAATCTGACAATAACTGGCTAAATAAAAAGACAAATGTATTCCAGTTGACATATTACACATCAAATGTAAAGCATGAGCAGCATTCCTAAAGTAACTGCTATGACTACATCCACACATTAGTGTCCATGATATATAAGAAACCACCAAAGATGAGCAGATCACATCCTTGTGGTGACAAAGGAATATAAAGACCCTTAATTACATCTCTCAGCAAGGGATTAATCATAAATTGTGGAAGAAAATGAATAGGAATAAAACCAAATATTTTATCTTGTGTGCAGTTTGTAGTAAAACTAATTATATAGACCAAAAGCTGTGTGGTAAATTACAGCATGTCAACACATAGATGCTACACAGACCTATGTAAACCGCACAAGTAAGGCATTAGACAGACAAACATTGGTCCTTTAGTCTCATATTACACCTTTTCTTTCTTAAGGACACTTAAGAATATAAGCAAGTCACCGTCCAGCTGAGAACTGACTTGTTTGCGAATGGATTGAGAGCTGAGGATCGACTTTCAATGAATAACAATGGGTGTTTAGCAACTGTAACATGATTTGCTTTGATCATAAGCTAATCAAATCAAGGTAATATTGATTAAATGTGTGAAGTTAGAGGTCTCTAAAGGTCTTTTCAATTTTTGTATCTCAACCCCTCACTTTGCCTAATTCCCAGCCGCTATTAAGCATTATGCTGAATCAGATCAAAGCTCTGATAGAGGCTAAACAGCTTGAAAGGTGCACAAGGACACCATGTTGGGAATCCCAACCCTCTCTGTGTGTGACACGAGTGAAAACAGGGTTTCTGTATGCACAGCTGAGTCTGACATCGAAAGCCGTACATGACAAAGACAGATGCCCTGTGAACCCCACAGTGCGCACGGCCATATCTATTCCAGTTCCCTAAACCTAAAGGACCAACACATACCTTCAAAAAGTCCACTCATTTTTTGTCAGATAAACACTTGACATTAAACAGTCAAACAAAAATAAAAGAACTAAAAAGAATACGATTACTAATTAACGACCACAATCTTGATCTCCTCATAGGGTCAGTTTAGGGTTCAAAATTTTGGGGTCAGTGCATTTTTAATAAGAAGGCATTAATGCAAGGGTGCATTAAATTGATCAAAAGTGACAGTAAAAATTTGTCACAAAATGTTTCTATTTCAAATAAATGCTGCTCTTGTGAACTTTCTATTCATCACTGCATCATGATTTCCACAAAAATATTAACTGTTTTCAACATTGATAATAATAATAAATGTATCTTGAGCAGCAAATCAGCATATTAGAATTATTTCAAAAGGATCATGTGACACTGAAGACTGGAGTAAAGGCCTGTTCACACCAAGGACGATAACTATAAAGATGTAGTTGTAAAAATCGTTCTGAATATTAAGAATAGCAGAGTCCACACCACAGCTGTAACGATAAAGGCACAGAGAAGCGATATCATTGAAATCACTTTCAGGACGATTTTTTCCAGCTGATGAACGATACAAACATTGACAGCCAATCAGAATCCATCCTGCTGTAACGAGCTAGAGCGTGTGCTTAGACTAAACAGACGATATCGCCGTCGTCGTAGTTATTCTTTGTGAACGGGGCTTAACAATGATGAAAATTCAGCTTTGACATCACAGAAATAAATTACATTTTAAAATAGAAAACCGTTACTTTCAATTGTAATATGTACCACTATTACAGTTTTTTTTACTGTATTTCTGCTCAAATAAGCGCAGCCTTTGTGAACATAAAAGACTTCTTCCAAAAACATTAAAAATATTACTGAACCCAAACTTTTGAATGGTAGTGTGGTTAAACAAAACTGCAAATTATCAACTGTTTTAGGGTCACACACATAAAAAAAACAGATCACATCCTCTTTAACTCGACATACTAACCCTGCTCACATGTCCAAAAGTGTTGCAATAGCATTGGCTCTGATAAACTATACCCCTTTATCTGTTCTATCACTTTAATAATCAACCATATCGGTGCAAAACACCTCTTTTTGTTTAATAACCAAAGATATATGTGGCAGGATTGCTTCATTTTAGCACATTTAAAAAGACCCCATTTAGACATTCAAGATTTAGTTTGTTACAACTCCAGAGTTTTAAAAATCTCACAAAACAGGACAAAAGGTGGTGGGTGCAGGAAGTAAGACAGCAAAGGTTACAAAACAAAACTCCTCTATTGTAGTCCCCCTAAAGCAGGATGACAGGACAATTCTTCAGTTCCGGCTAGTCAAGTGTGGCGAAGGAGAAAGGCTCCGCTTTTTTGGCCAAACCCCACAAGTAGTGCGTGCAATCGGTGGAATGCAGGAACTTCACTGAGGGAAGGTCATTTCCAGTTGGGTGGGTCGATGGAGCCAGATCGTAATGCTGGTGACAACACCGTATGTTGCGTTCCACGCAATACCACACGGTCACTCCAACAAACAATCGTCAGGTTTCCTGTTGAAGAGGCACTACTGGCCCCCGTTGTAAGCGTAGTCTGCTTTGTTGTGCATGATGAGTTTGTTGTCCACAAAGTAGAAGCTGTCTGATCTGGTCTCATACGGGTGCTCAGTCATCAATCGAACTGCAGGAGACAAAGAAACGACATAGCAGGGAGCATTACACCGCACTTTAACAAATGAACACAGACATGTAACACGCTCTCCTCTATCTGAGCACTGGTAAGAGAGTGAGGTCTGAAATTTGATACAAGCCTGACAGGACGAGTGAGATGTCAGACAGAGTTAGGTCAATATGTTACTAGCAAGGCAATTGGTTACTCTTTTGTGCCAAATTTCCTCTCACGGCATTTGAGGGGGAAAAAAAGTTTGGTATTAATTCAAGGTGGGTGCTAATAAGTAGTTTTCTCAGATACAGTATAATTAAATTATTAGTGCTGTCAAACGATTAATCGCATCCAAAATAAAGGTTTTTGTTTACATAATAAATATACACAGTACACACACATATACTATGTATATATAAATACACACCCATGCATGTATATACGTAAGAAAAATATGTTACGTTTATATATTACATATATTTGTATATAATATAAATTATATGAATATAAATATATACATGTAAATATTTTCAAAATATATACTGTGTGTGTCTATTTATATATACACATAATATACACAGTACACATATTATGTAAATAAAAACTTAATCTTAATTAATCATTTGACAGCACTAAAAATAATATGAATAATACATTACAATTATAAATCATGTTGTATTAATTATACAGTAATATTACATATTATACTGTCAAGTCTTCCTAATGTACACTGCAAAAACCAATGATTTTCTTACACAGTACATTTGTCTTTATATATATATATATATATACACACACAGAGAAGCAAACTGATTTTAAATATTAAATCATATTAAGTCTTGTTTAAAAAAAAAAGAAGTCAAAATTAAGTGGGTTTCTACTTGGAAACAAGAAAAATATTTGTCAATAGGGTAAGAAAAATTTACTTTTCCATTGGAATGAATGATTTTTATATATTTGTACTGGAAAACAAGATAAAAAAAACTGAAGAAGAAAATCATTTTAAATAAAGCAAAAGCAAAAAAAAACAACAAAAAACAGAATGATTGGTTTAATAGCTAAAAGATATTTATAGATGTTTCTTTTTTTGTGTGTTGCTGACAATCTTGGCCAGTATTCTCTTGTAAAAGAGATTTTTAATCTCAATGTGCTTTTCCTGGTAAAAATAAATGTAAAATAAAATAAAAATATATTTTGTATTCATTAATGAAGTATACAGTAAGTTTAAAAATCTATAAAAAAAATTTAGTGAGTTTGTACTTAAAAGAAGAAAAATATCTGTTCGTGGGGTAGCAAAAAAAACCTGTTAAAAACATTTTTTTTTCTCCACAGTGTTAAATTTACCTGCTAAATGTAATAAAATAAAAGTAAAAAAAAAATAAAACGGCATGTTTGATTTATTAGCTTAAAGAACTGTTATAATCATTAAAAGACTATTTAGTTAGTTCAAAAAGTAACCAGAACACTCACTGAGGTCCCCTGGGAGCTGAGGAAACTCGTAAATATGTTCACACGTGTTCCGGCTGTTCGGGATACAGAAGCCAAAGTCAAAGTCGAAACTCTTCAGGAGGCGGTCTTGAAAATAATGCCTCTCAATCATTCTGAAATTGGTAACAGGTCGATCGCCAACTGTGAACTCCACCCTGAGAGAGTGTGAACGGAGAAAAGAGACGTTACTTTTAAGTTAAGTTCACTTGGTCTGTAACTAAACAAGAGCTTTTTGATGTTTGATGATACTAAATTAAAAAAGACAATATGACAATGACTGAAGTCTGCTCATGTTTACAGCCAAACTGAAGGAACTACCGAGGCCAAATCATGATTTATTCATGATTTCTGTGGGATTTGGCTAATAACATTGCTCAAGTGCTGCAGCAGATGACACAAGCTCCTTTGTTTCAAAACATGAGAGCTGGTCAACTGAATTTCAGACCCACCAAGGTTTGTTTACCCAGCAGAATGCACATGGCCGTGCTTGTTAGAGAAACTTACGTGGCTCCGACTGTGAGTAACTTAAGGAACGCAGGTGTGAACTGGTAACGAACAAAGCGTCCGGCACTGGTGTCAACCTCTCCGTTTTCCTCATCCTCCTCAACAAGGTCTGAATGCCACAGTTTGAGAGGGAATATAGGGTTATGATCATTAACTGAAACTAAAACCATTAAAAAAATAAACATTAACTGAAAAAAGGCCACATTTCTAATTTGTTTAGTTTAAGTACTACAAAAACTAAACCGAAAGAACTAAAGCTAAACACTCAAACTTTTAAAAAATATTTCAAAAAGACAAAACAAGAAATAAGACATTTGAATATGGCTCAGAGGATCAGAAAGGCAAATCTTGCATGCAGAGCAAAACCACAGCTATATATATATTCACTATAGAAATTTCCATGAATATGACATGATAAAATTCCCTCATATTTTACGTTCCATGACAGTAGAAGCCTCTAATATCTTTAATTCAGTTGCGATGTCATGAACTCATTGGATTAGTTCAGCATACATCAGCATAGAAGATTGACATTCTAACTAATCATAATCAGAATCAGAATAAGCTTTATTGCCAGGTATGTTTTCACATACGAGGAATTTGTTTTCATGACAGAAGCTTCCACAGTGCAACAGAACGACAGTGACAGAACAAAAAACACAGATAATAAAAGAATTTAAAAAATAGAACAAGTAAATAAGTAATAACAATATATAAATTGACAATTGTATGTGCAGGTATATTACAATAGACAGTTTTTTAGTATGTACAGTACTTAAAATTGAAAAAAAAAGAAACATACATGGATAAATCGCTCAAAATATATATATATATATATATATATGCTATAACATGCATTTACAAAATAGACCGGTGAATTTTCATTACATGAATTTAAGTGATTTTGTTGGACTGGGTGGTCTTTCAGTTTGCATTTCACATGCTAAAAGCAAATAAAGTTAGTCATCATAAAAGAACCATTGTGTGACATCCTTTATTAGTTTAACTTGAAGACAAAGAAAGGAAACGTACCACACTGTGGCGGTTTGGCAATCTCAAAAAGGACAGTCCCCGTCTCCAGGTCTCTGATCTTAAACCGTGTGAAGTCAATGTTGTAGATGTTGTCCTCTGGTTTACACAGATAGTCTGTGGACGGAAAATGTATCGTGTACTTCAATAATAGGAACGTAGTATACAGTAGTTATACATCTCATTAAGAGACTGGATTAAAGTAAACATAAGAAAGCTATGTAGCAATACTCTCAGACTGCTAAACATGATGCATGTTTGTTTGCTATGTTTAAAACAGACATGAAGACAAAATGCTCTCTGGAAGCTCATTAAAAATGTGTTGCATGGACTGGGCCTGCATGAAGTAAACAAACACATGAAGTCGAAGGATGCTGTAACTCGTCATTAAGAGACTGGATTAAAGTAAACATAAGAAAGCTATGTAGCAATACTCTCAGACTGCTAAACATGATGCATGACCCAAAGTGCTGTTTGTTTGCTGTTTAAAACAGACATGAAGACAAAATGCTCTCTGGAAGCTCATTAAAAATGTGTTGCATGGACTGGGCCTGCATGAAGTAAACAAACACATGAAGTCGAAGGATGCTGTAACTCATAATGCGTGTACATTGCGAGCACCTGAGAAGTTGTGAGATGAAGCAGGTATCAGAGTGGCGTCTCAGAGCTCTTACCGCGAGTGACTGCGCGGAGTCCCAGAACTTCATCCGGAGTGATGTCTCTCCCCAGCGCCCGCAGCTCCTCCTCCGTTACAGGCCGCCGGTCCACTTGATTTCGTCGCGATTTCAGCCTTTTCAGAACACCGCCTCCGGGTTTGCGGTCTCGGGGAGCCGCTGCCGTTGAATCCGAGCCGTTAACCGCGGCAGCTGCCGTTTCGTTGCGGGAGCTCTGACTGTTCATCTCTCCGAAATCTCACTTGGTGTGGCGGCGGAGCGCGAACTGCGTTTCTACTGCTCGCTGAATGCAAGATGGCGTAGCGCGTCACTATGGAGAACCTACGCCGACAGGATAGCGACGTGATTGGCTGAACGCGCTCGAAAGTTGCTATGGTTACCACAATTCCTGTTTACCAGAGCCGTTGAGAAGGAGCCTTGCGACACGCTTTGAACTCGCCGCCACGCGGTCACGTGGTTCATGGAGCTCTCAATAGTTCCGAACAACTCCGCGTTGTCAATGTTTGAATGGGTTTAAGTAGGATAGACAGCAGTTTCACTATATTTGATTATTAACACATCGTGTGCATGTATTGTGTATTGATAACTACGCTGACTACGTTTTACAATCGCGTTTTATTCTGGGGAGTGATGAAGAGACAGCATACATTTTTTTCTAATATGCTTATTATTTATATTACAATTAGCGTAGTATTTAGGGTAAAAATAGAGAAAATGTTTTTAAATTCCAGTGCAAAGAGGCAAATTAGAGACGTTTGGTGGCCAGAAAAATAATATTCCTATGTAATGCCGTGGTTTAACCACTAGATGCCCATATGGCTGTTTAATAAATATAGCCTACATGAATTTAGCTCTACTCTAGTTGCTGTAAAGAGTTTTACCGGTCATAATAGCTTTATTTATTTTGTGTTTCGCATTGTATATTTGACATTATCAAACACTCAGTGTTTATAAGCTTTTTTTAATTGTTGAATTTAAAAAGATTAATTACTCACATGCCAGTGTTATTTTATGACATTTATGAAAGAAGATAATGTAAGTGAATTAAAAAAAGGCCAGCAAATACGGAATTTAACCCAATAAAAAAATTAAAATAACGTTTAAAAAAAGACTAGGCAACCAACTGCATTCAGGGAAACTCTTTCTTGTTCTCCTTTAATGGGCCGTCTTCACTGAAACTCAACTTCCTACAGGGAGACACAGATTGCAGAAAGACTAAAAATATGACAACTAGCATCTGGTTATGATCGCTATTAAGGTGTTTCTCGCGTTATCTAACTGCAAATATAGCATAACTGCCTATTATCTAAAACTAAACATTAACTATAATGCGTTTCATAAAATACAACTACTGGCCAGATTTCCGAGATGTAAACTAATGCGTTAAAATGACAAAAACTGCTGTAATTTCCTCAGCTTTCTGGTGAGTGTGCTTGAGAAGCACTGAAATGAATGGGCTTCAATACTAAAAACTGCAATAAACAAATACTGTAACTATTGGTTGTTTGGAGGTGTTGGCCGCTCCATGACACGCTTTACTCCCGCATTCCTCAGTCAGCTTCTATGGAAGCCCACAGGAGTGTTTCTCAACCGCTCTGCTGCTTACAAAAGTCTCCCCATTAGCTTATGTCAGTTTATTTTCTTAATTAGTTAAACGGATTTATGGTTAGAAGGTCATTATTTATTCTGTATTAATATTATTTATACCCAGTGCAGTTATTTTTACAATATTGTAATGTAATTTGATTTATTTAGAAACTTTTCATTTTGTGTTATAATGTTGAGTAATTTGGTTGTATTTCGAATGCCATCTTATTTTTAATTTTTTTGTTGTCTTAATAAATATCAACAAACAAAACCAATTATGTATTTTTTCAATAATTTTGAGTCTTTTTTTCTACATTGCTGATAAATTGTTTGTGTGTGTGTGTGTGTATATGTGTACATATATATATATGCATGTATGTATGTATTGTACATATATGTATAGGTACCGTACCTGTATATGCATAAGAGTATGTATACGAGTAAAAAAACACTCATTTTAAACGCCCTTCCCCAGCACTATATCACTATATTATTAAAATAAAATAATAAAAAAAACATATATATACACAGGTGCATCTCAATAAATTAGAATGTCGTGGAAAAGTTCATTTATTTCAGTAATTCAACTCAAATTGTGAAACTTGTGTATCAAATAAATTCAGTGCACACAGACTGAAGTAGTTTATGATACACATTATAAATTAATAATACACATACACATTTTACTTTAATAATATAATGACTTATCAGGCATACACGTTAATTTATATATTATTTATTTAATAATAACTTTAAATCAATTCTATAATCTTGACCTGAACTATGATTGTTAACAGAATCTTATAAATGAAACAATGAAAAAGAGCTCATTAAAAATACCCTCAAGGCCAGTTAGATAAAATAGCACATTTATTAAAAAGAAACAGCATCAATTTGCAGTTCCCACTTCAGAAGCCTTCTCTCAAGACCGTGTGGGTGCTAACCGTTCCAGTACTATTTCACCAGTTCCCATGTTCTCTACAGTTCTGAGGGAGGAGGTTCAAGAGGGGACAGGTAGCAGAACACGACTAACAAACCAAAGACTTAAACTACTTCAGTCTGTGTGCATTGGATTTATTTAATACACGAGTTTCACAATTTTAGTTGAATTACTGAAATAAATTAACTTTTCCACGACATTCTAATTTGAGATCCACGACATTCTAATTTGAGATGCACCTGTATAATCAATTTAATTTTAACAATATATTATATGTACAAATTAAATATTTGACATATATGATACACATTATATATTAATAATACACATGCACATTTTACTTTAATAATATAGTGACTTATCAGGCATACACGTTAATTTATATATTATTTATTTAATAATAACTTTAAATCAATTCTATAATCTTGACCTGAACTATGATTGTTAACAGAATCTTATAAAATAAACAAAAAAAAAAAA